AGAAGCCTGTGCCTATGGCAGAGCTGCTCATCTGCTTTTGAAGGTTCCCTTGTTATACCCTAGCAGTGTGGCCTGGTGAGCATCCTGGAAGCTAGCTAAGCAATTCAGTGTGCCCTCCACTTGGGAAAAAGCCGAGAAAGGAGAGGAGAGAGAGCCAGGGCCCGCGTCACCCTGGAGATGTTCATCTCCCTGGATGCCTATTGCTAAGGAGGATTCCATTTTGTTTCAGCAAACACGTTTGGTCAACTACGGTCCCTGTGTTGGCAAGACAGTCCTCAGAACATGGGGGGAAAGACCTAGAGAAAAAATATTGTAGATTTATGCCTCAAATGTGTGGGCTGTGGAAATAGCAGCCTATAATTTCTGCCCTGTAATTTCTCATGTTTTCTTTTGCTGGAACTGGTGCAGTTCATTCTCAACTTCAAGGACCCATGGCTCCGAGCACCACTGCCTTTTATCCCACTTCAGACTGTTTCTAAGGACATCTCCACAATTGGAACCGAATCCCTGAGACAGGGACTTCTCTTCCATTTTTCCAATTATACTGTGTCCTTTACACAGATAGTTCAAGAAAAGCCTTAGGACCCAACAGGGACAAAAGCCCCACTATACAGATGAGAAAGCTGAGGCTCAGGAGCTGGTTGACCAATTCCACATGGTCTCTGAGCTCAGTGCCGTGTCCACTCTACATACTGCCTCAATGACAAGTGAGTTTCTCCAAACAAAAACTATGCACAAACCTTTGCAATGTATGTGTATATGTGTTTGTAAATATTAAGCAATGTAATATATACTTTATTAGAACAGAGTGTTATCTTCATGATACACTTGAGTCTAACAAAACAAGTTCTGGGCCAGGTGTGGTGGTTCACACCTGTACTGTAAGCCTGGCACTCTGAGCGGTCGAGGTAGGAGGATTCCTCGAGCTCAGGAGTTCAAGACCAGCTTAACCAAGAGCAAGACCCTGTCTCTACTAAAAATAGAAAAAGTAGCCAGGTGTTGTGGTGAGCACCTGTAGTCTCAGCTACTTGGGAGGCTGAGGCAAGAAGGATTGCTTAATCTAGGAGTTTGAGGTTGTTGTGAGCTAGTCTGAGGCCATGGGGCTCTAACCTGAGCAACAGAGTGAGACTCTACCTTAAAATGACAAGATAAAATAAAATAAAGTTCTGGAGCAATAGCCCTGGTATAATCTCAGTTCTGTTCCTCCCTTCTCAACAAAAGTAACAGTCTGTGTATATGCTTCTGTATGACGGTATCTACGTGCAACTATGATCCATGTGCATGTCTCACACGCAGAGAATAGGTGCAGGGAATGCCCACCAAATAGGCAACTGTGGATTCTCCTTGTAGGTGGGGAACTTTCATTTTTTTATTTATTTGGCATTGCCACATGTTTTATAATGCATGTTGCAATTTATAAACAATGAGCAAGAAATAATAATGGCTGCCATTTACTGAGCATGGAATACAAGCCAGGCACTATGTGAGGCTTTTTACAGCCACCATCTCATTTCATCCTCTCTGTGGCTCAAGGACAACATGGGACAATGACTGTACGACCAATGGGAAACCTGAGGCTTAAAGAAGACACAGAGCTGGTTCAGTGGCAGAGCCAGGATCAGAACATAGGACTGTCTGACATGAAAGCCATGCTCAGATTATCCCTAAGAGATCACTGTTTTTCACTTGCACTCAGTAGAAAAAGGGTGTGTGACTCTCACAGGATGTTATCTGTTTGGCCTGAGTTGCTTGAAAGCTGAGAAAAGGTTGCCAGCTGCCATGCTAGTGCAAGACACCTCGGTGTGTCCGCTGCCTGAGCGGAGGCTTGGTGTGCTGTATCCCCCCTTCCCTGGCCCATCCCCGGTGCTCTTCCATCCTCACCATTCTTGGCCATCTCTCTCCATGTGTGAATTCCATTAAACGCTTGCTCGCTGCTATTTTGAGCCATGCATTAGCACGTGGGCTTTGATTTGATGGGAGCAGGCCAGACACCTCAGGATGATGAAAAAGAAGTTTAAAATGTCCTCTCCCTCCCCCACAGAGTCCCAGAAGCCCTTGCCCACTGCTCCTGGGGAGCCCGAGAATCTCATGTATGGGGAAATGTATGCAGCACAGCACAGAGCAGAAATCTTCATAAACTATGGGGGCCGTTGAACGTGGCTGCTCCCTCTCCTTGGAATTGTCATCTCCAGCTGTCCACGTGGCTCATTCCCTCACCTCCTTTGGGTCTTCACTCAAGTATCACTTCCCCAGCAAGGCCTCCCCCCACACCATTCAGAAACAGCAGCTTCCTCCTCCCTGCCCCCTGCTCTTTCCAAGCCTTTCAGTTCCTTTGTATCCTGCCCCACACTTATCATCTGACATACTATGCTCTGCCTACCGTTTCCCACTGGAATATAAGCTCCACAGAGGAGAAGTGTTTTATGCACAGCTCTATCTCCAAAACCCACACTGGCACCTACAAGGTTGCAGACGCACAGTAAGTGGAAAGAATGAATGAGGGGCCTCGGATACCACTTAGCACACGGCCTCGTTTCCCCCCAGATAATCATGAAATTATAGAAGCACAGTGATTTGAAAAATCAGAAAATCATCGCCCCACTCCAAAATGTTTTGAATCTGGACTCACACGCACCATGAATGAGAAGGCTTGGGAAATAAACACTCTAGGAAGTCGTGTGCAGTTGGACTTCCGCTCCCTAACACATGTTCAAAAACAAAAGCCAGACCAATGTGGATGAAAATAGCAGGAAACTGTCCCCCAGGGACACAAGGTGAGGTCATATTGCTTGGCTTTGCTGCTTCCATTTTTGTCAAATCTGCCTTCTGCCAACTCAAGGAGGCCGGGAACCACATCCAAGCCCACAGCGCTCACTGTGAATCAAGAGGGCTGCTCTGGAGTGGCACGTGATAGAACCACATCCACGGGCTGTCCTCGGGCACCTCAGTGTGGGATGACAAAAATCACAACTCCCGTGTGCTTTGTATGCCCTTCACATACCTCGCCTCATTTATTCTCACACCCACCCTCTGAGGCTGGCCTTCCTATCCTCATTCTACAGATGAGGAGGGTAAGCTTCCAAAATAGTCAGTAATTTGCCCTGGCTCACATTCTGTGACTTTAGATCCAAGCTAAGCATAGAAATGATCCTAGTTTCATCTCTCATTTACTTGTTGTGCAGTAGACAAGTACCTATCCTTCTCTGAGTTAAGATTTCTGCATCCATAATTTCACTATTTACTTAGAGCATTCCATTCGGTGTTTTCTAAGGCATCTCCCTGCTCTAGCTTCTTATGATCTCTTGCAAAGATTCCAGAAAATAGGGAAGGAAGGGGACTTGAGTCCTGGGATCCTCGCTTGGTCAGTCTCACACCTAAAGATTTGCCCATGGCATTGATGTCATCACTTGGGTTGACCAGAGTAAGCTAAAGGTCATATGCTTCACTCAGGGCAGAACAGAAGAAATTAGACTTAGGTGGCAACAGGGAACATTTAGACTAGAGCTAACAGGAGGGAGCCCCGAGAAATTAAAACAGGCCCTAAAAGAGCATAGTCCAGAACAGACCCTTTATGGATCTTTTCTTGTAGGACCAAAAAAGACACCCAGGGAGAAACCCGGATGCAGAGCCTACATCCTCCGAGAGATACAGTCGGTCATATCTGTTTCAGGAAACAGAAGATAAAGAAACACATCCCTTGGGCGATGCCTGTGGCTCAAAGGAGTAGGGTGCGGCCCCATATGCCAGAGGTGGCAGTTTCAAACAGCCCTGGCCAAAAACTGCAAAAGAAAGAAAGAAAGAGAAAGGAAGGAAAGAAAGAAAGAAGGAAGGAAGGAAGGAAGGAAGGAAGGAAGGAAGGAAGGAAGGAAGGAAGGAAAGAAAGAGAGAGAAACTCATCCCCTGACTGGTTTTAATCTCAGAAGGAGAGTAGCAAAGATTGCAATCCCCATCTTTCTGCCCTCCCAAGGCCACCCTGTCCTGCAGGCAGAGGAAAGATAAGGATGCAGCCGTATCTTACCGCACAAACTGCGTGAGTCGTACTTCAACCACACTTGAAACACCACTCATCTTCCTTTGTGTCCAAAAGCCCAAATTTGGAATAAATTATATTCTCCCTTTCCACCCAACCCTGAAGCCATTCTCATCCTTCTGGATATGGGAAGGTCTTCTTCATTCCTTTCTTGGCAGTGATATATTTGATTACTCATTGGCTTCCAGGGGGTTCCAGAAGCTGCCAAGAGGAGACAGGCAGCATTCCAAGTCATGCAGCCTTATCTATAATGTCTGTGTGACAGGATGAAAGAGGGACTATTCGTGGGGAAATACCAAACGCTTTCAGGGTCCCTCAGCCAAGTAAGGAGAACTCATCAGTGGCCAACAAGATTGGGAATGGCTGAAGATTGGGCAACAGAGATACCACGCATTGTGTCTGTCTGTTCACCTCCTCAGTGAGATGAATCGAGATACAACTGTACCTGAGAGCAAATCGATATGGAAATAAACCTGAGCCAGGCCACCAACCACGATGAATGAGGTGGGGAAGAAGAAGGAGCTGGGCCACAGGATGCCCAGAGACTGCTGACGAGGCCCTACTGGCAAAATCTCAGGATTAGCTGACCCAGAACACACTCTGCTTTGCCTCGCTCCCCTCTGCTATTTTCCTCTAATCTCCTTCATTTCCTGCCATGCGCTGGGCTGGAGCTAGTAAGGCAGCTGCGGAAGGCCTCTGGTCATCCCTCCCTTAATCTCCCTCTCACACACATACACACCCCCGTGTGCCTGCAGTGAACTCTAAGAGACCCCAGAAATACAGCCTAAGGAAATCCAAGCAAGACCTTTAGCTGTCCAGTAATGTCACAGCAATTCCCCCAACAGAATCAAGGATTGAGAGAGCCTGAGGTCACTCCGCTAACTACTTCCTTCCAAAACAGTGACACCTGCGTCCTGCGTTGCCACAGAAGTTAATTGTTTCATTTTAGACAACAGAGGAGTCCACTTACTCATTCTTCTCCAGGTCCAGGATCAGTTCTCGCCCCTCAGCCATTACCCTGAGCTCAGCTTTGAATGGATGCTAGAAGCAACAACAAAAGAAGGTCAGTTCCTAAAAGCTGGAGCCAAGGCTCCTCGAGTTGGGCACAGGGCATATCTAGGACAGTACTCAGACGCTCACCCAAGGAAACAAAGGCGAAGAGGTCAGTTGTATTTCCAGCCCAAATGTGAAATGACCTCAATGCCAGAATGGCCCAAAACCTTCCCCCTCTGCTTTTTCCTAAAAGGCACAGGAAAGAAACTCCGAGCTGAAATGTGGTGTAAGTGTACATGTGTGGTCTGGTAAAGAAAAATACAGGAAAACACAGTCTTCAACAGCCAGTTGTCTGTAGAGTCAGATCGGGGTTCAAGTGCTGGCTCTGAAACCACAGTGGAGTCAAGGTGGACAGGTTACTGAGCCTCTCTACAGCTCAGTTTCCTCATTTATAATATAAAGATAGTAATTGTCAACCTTATGGGGATCTCATAAGGATTAAGTGAGATAATGTACATAAATAGTTGATCACAGTGCCTGCCGCACAGGAAGCCCTTGATACATGTTGGCTATTATCTTATGAAAGACCAGGGGATCCTTCCTCTTCATAATGGGTTATTTTATAGGTTGTCCCAAAGGTCACCCATAAAATCATCATGTACAGGGTAAATGGGAAATTGTAGCTAAAGTGTCCTTTTATTTACAAAGTATTCATTACACAATTTTCAAAGAGGTGGCCAAGATGGAGAAAATATTTTGTAAAATAGGAGAATGGTTAAATAAACAATGATCCATTCATATGAAAGAACACTAGATATTAAAAACATCAACTTTAGATCATTTTAAAATTATTTTTAAAAATATTGAGAAAGGGTTTGGCGCCCATGGCTCAGTGAGGACAGTGCCAGCCACATACAGGAAGCTGGTAGGTTCTAGCCCGGCCTGAGCCTTCTAAACAACAATGAAAACTGCAACAACAACAAAAATAGCCAGGCGTTGTCATGGGCGCCTGTAGTCCCAGCTACTCGGGAGGCTGAGGTAAGAGACTCACTTAAGCCCAAGAGTTTGAAGTTGCTGTGAGCTGTAACATTATAGCACTCAATTGAGGGTGACATAGTGAGACTTTGTCTCAAAAAAAAAAAAAAAAACTGAGAAAGTGTACACAATAAACATTAGGCACAAAGCCTCAAACTAGAACATTGCACATTTTGTTTAAATATACTTTTGCAAAGGGAAAAAAATAGAAAAAAATAAAACTAAAGGTTGCCCCAGGTACTCTGGGCATGGGATCATAGGTTAATTTTATTTTCTTTTGTACATCTTTCCACATTTTTATAATTGCTTTTATAATTTAAGAAAAGGACTTTTAATCTTTTTGCCTTATTATTGCAAAAAATGTCAAAGAAATTTTAAAAGCCAAGTCATGATAAACCTCCATGCTTCAACAATTAATTCAATTTAGGACTATTGAACTTTTTTTTAGAGAATTTATTTAACAGGATATTTACATATTTAAAACAGGATAGATTCTTTAGGGTGTTTTAGATGTGAGTTCTCTAACTTGAGATTAAGGAACTGATAAATTCTTGAAGTCCCTTTTAGTCAACAAAAGGCCCTACACAATGGCACTTCTACCCCTTTTAAGGTTGATCACAATGCTTAGTTCTGGCATGTTTGAGAAAGTGGGTCACCTGTACTGCCACCTCTGTTTGGGGTCTGCTTCTTCTAAGCACATTCTCCTTACTTGCTGCAAATCTCTCTCCATAAGGGTCTGACCATACCTGAGACGTTCAGGTCACCAAGGGCACTGAGGGGATCAGAACGTTCCCATCAAAGAGTCTTGGGCAACTGTGTTGCCAAATTAATCTATTACCTCATCTTAAGAGGGGACATTTGAAACCCATCAGAGTAGGAAGCTGGGGTAGATGCTTGCCCAATAACTTTCACTAGAAGAGTCACTTCTCTGTTTCTGATGCCCCAGCTTTCCTTTGCCAACACATATTCTGGTGGCTGAGCCTTTGCCACTCTACTCTGGGGAGTTCTGGAGCAAATGCTCTGCCCAACCACATTGAACAGTGGCGGACATAGCCACAAGACAAGTGGGCATTTCAAAACCAGCAAAGAGCAACAGAGGTAGGCGACCTTGGAATCAAAGTACTATCAGCCCTTCCCCAAATAGACACAATTTGCAACTTGGGTACTAATATTTATTTTTATGTGGGTAATCTAAAAATAATTTTCTCTGTTCTGGAAAGTGCTCAGACACTGATAACTAAAATATGATGTTCCTTGTTTCCATGGGACATTTCAAGCAAAACAATGAAACTGCACTTTAAGGATCTGTGAAGCTTCCCTGTCCAGTTCTACTGATCGGCTTTTCTTGTGTAACTCTGGGACTGTACTAGGAAAAGACACCATCACTTCTGCTAGGAAGTGTAGAGAGCTGACCCAATATTTGTACTTCTCCTAGGGAAGGGCTGAAAGGCCTTTCTGCTGTGGACTGGATTAAACAGACCTTCAGCTCCACAGCATATTGGAAACCTGTCCCGCTACATTTGCATTCCCTTAAGATCTAGTACAATACTTAGTATACAATAAGTGTTCAATTAATGTTTAATGAATGAATGAATTACATAAATAAGAATAAGAGGCTTGAATAAAATCCAGTTTCTACTCCCTTTCTCTGACATTCATTCATTTATTCATTCAACCGAAATTCATGGTGCCAGGCCCTGTGCTGACTATTCCTACAGAATACAATGACCCATATTCTGGGCAGACAATAGCTGGGGACAAAGACAGGATCTGGTCTTCCACTTTGTTTTTCAGGCCCTTCCTGAGGATGCCTGCCACCCACATCTGGAGGGAACAAAGAGGCCTCTATAAAAAGTACCAGATCCACTCCTCAGGCAATAAAGAATAGGCTGTAATATCCAAAATCTTAAGTTTTAAAAATAATCTGCTCAAGGATGACTATCCATTAACTTGTCTAGACTTTTCCTGAAGCTATTTTTTCCTGAAGCCTCTCCTACTTTTTGATGTAATGAGTTCAATGCATTAATTGCCTTTAGGACAAAATGTAACTTGCTTTTATTTGTCCCTAAATTTATTTTTTATTTTTTTGGCTGGGGCTGGGTTTGAACCTGCCACCTCCAGCATATGGGGCCAGCGCCCTACTCCTTTGAGCCAGAGGCGCCACCCTATTTGTCCCTACATTTTCACTAAAAGTTCCTCTAGTAAATCCAAGTTGGAGCCTTTGGGGATACCTCTGTAGTATTCTAGCCATAATTTCTAGGACTCTAGGCATTTCTCCTCTCTGTTTATTAGTATCTTTCCAGACTCAAAAGCCACAACATTTGAAATCTTTCCTGACACACCCCCTTCCTACTATAATCTTGCTTCTGTATGTTGCCCAATAAATCACAAACCATTTGAACCATAAGAGATCTTAGAACTAACCCTTCTTTTCAGCTCTCTGCCTCTTTATTTCCTCTAAGCCCCATTTTATAAGTGAGTAAACCCAAGTTCCTCAGCAAGCGGAGGGCACACAGGAGGTTACTGGCACACAACAACCACATCTTTCTTTCATGTCTTGGTTAAGCTGTGAAAACCAGAACCACAAAGAATATCTTAGATACACAGGTGCTCTCTGTCAGGATAATGTTTTCTGTCTTCTTTCCATCCCCTTTTGTAAAGTCTGTGCATCTTGCAGGTGTTCTAGCCAGGAGAATCTCTTGGATTTTTAAGAGATATTCCCATGCTAGGTCTCTCCCCTGCCTCTTAGTAAAAGTAATTTAGGTTTTCCTTTTTCTCTCTAGGTACATTATACCATCAATAAAATAAAGCATGTGTTATGCAGAACAAAAATAACAGTCACAACATTGAATGAATTCCAATCAAGAGTAGATGATTTTTATGACACCAACACATTTGCACTTAGCTTGTGTCAATACTAATATGAATTCTCATTTCCTCAACTAATAGCATTTGGAAGTGTTCTAGAAGTTTTGTCATACAATGAAGGAAAGTCCCGTCTGGGACAGCCCAAGCTGGAGAGGACAAAGTGGGCTGGAAACAGCACTGATGGCAATGACTGGGTTTCCAAGAAAGCTGAGTAGGTGGCCCTAAGCCTCTAGTTGTCAACTCCTGCCAAAGAAAATGAGAGCTTTGGAGTCTTACCTTTTCTCTCATGGGGCTTTCTGAAGTCTTCCACTGAGGTATTATGAGTTCATGCTGTAGCTGGGGGCTGCCTTCCCCACTTCCTCCTGCCAATAAAAAGATTACACAAACATTAGAATCTCAGACCTCTATAACTAGCTAAGCCATGCGTGAACAATTAATTCAATTTAGGACTATTGAACTTTTTTTTAAGGAATTTATTTAACAGGATATTTACATATTTAAAACAGGATAAATTCTTTAGGTTGTTTTAGATGTGAGCTTTCTACCTTGAGATTAAGGAACTGATAAATTCTTGAAGTCCCTTTTAGTCAACAGAAGTCCCTGCTATAGTGACACTTGTAGCACTTTTAAGTTTGACCACAAAGCTTAGTTTTGGCAATGTCTGAGAAAGCGGGTCACCTGTACTGCCACCTCTGGTTGGGGTCTGGATTGACTTCCTGAGACAACTGTCGCCTGTGCTGGGTCAGCTCTTGGCACTGACTACAGGCCAGACACCTGTCTAGGTGATGGTGGCATTCTAGATGTGGGAGACAGACAACGAACAAACATTCTCAGAGGGTGCCAAGGACTCTGAACAAAATAAGTTAGTGTCATGGAATATTAGACACCCACCAAGAGGAGCCTCTTTTTGACAGCATGATCAGCAAAGATGGCATTGAATAGAAAACTAAGGGACCAGATGGAGGAACCAAGCTAAGATCTCTGAGAAGAGTACCCCAAGGAGAAGGATCAGAATGTGCAAGGGGCCTGCCTGAGCAGAAGTGGACTTGGCCTGTCTAAGGAACAAGCAGAAGATAGAGGTAGCTAGAGTCAAGTAAATTGGAGAAAAATTTGGTAACGTTGTGGTCAGCAAGACAGCCATGCGTCTGATAATGCAGAGACCATGGAAACTGCCTGGATTTTATTATAAATAGACTTGGAAGGCACTGGATGTTTTAAATACAGAGCAATATGATCTGTGTTAGGTTTAAAAAAGATCACTCTGCCTGCCTGGTGGAGAATGGGGATGGGATGGGGGAGGAGGGCGGAAGTGAGAGCTGAAGCAGGAAAGCAAGGCTGGAAACCTGCAGGAGCCCTGGGGAGAGATAGTGGCGGCTGGGACTAGAATGATATCAGTGGAGAGGAATGAAGCAGTGGGATTCTTGGCATGTTCTGAAGGTATGGGTATGCCCATGGGTAACTGTTCTCCCGGAGCTTTGGTTTTCTCATCTGTAAAATGAAGACAATGATACCTGCCTACCTCATCACTGTACTGGAGACAGTCAAGGTGAAATTGCCGCCTACTCTACAGAGCATCATTACCTCAACTTGAGCTGCCTCATGGCAAGTTAGCATTTGTATTTCACTTCCTTACTCTCCACATCACTCTCACCACCCAGTTCTCCTTTGTCCTCATGGACAGGCCTGGAAGGTAGGTAGCAGGAGTGGCATTTTGCAAGAAAGAGAATTGAAACTACAAGAGAGATGTGTTCAAGTCAGTGTAGAACTCAAACACTGGCCATATTAATAAAATGGTGATGTCCCCAAAACTAAGTGAATCAGCCTCCACAAGAACAGACCAAATCCAAAGGTCTCCTGAGTACCGAGGTGAGGACTCCAAAATCTGTTCTTTCTAAACTAACCACATCAATCTCATAGAACATAGAGTGATAAAAAGACAGCCATAGTTGCTCTGTTAGAATGGTGTGATTATGAGTGATTATTAACTTCCTTTTCCAATTACTGGTATAATATACTTGTAGTTAAAAGGTATACTAAAAAGGCCTGGCATTCATGCCTGTAATCCTAGCATTCTGGGAGGCTGACACAGATAGATTGCTTGAGCTCAGGAGTTCAAGACCAGCCTGAGCAAGAGCAAGACCTGGTCTCTACTAAAAATAGAACTAGCCAGGGCATTTTGGCAGGCACCTGTAGTCCCAGCTACTTGGGAGACTAAAACAAGAATATAGTTTGGGCCCAGGAGTTTAAGGTTGCTGTGAACTGTGATGCCACAGCACTCTACCCAGGGCGACAGAGTGAAACTCTGCCCAAAAAACAAGACAGTATTCTAAAAAATAATGTCATTGCACTAACACCACTCATCAGATAAGTTAAAATCAAAACCAAGGCATTCACTTATTTGTCAAATTTTTTCTTAGTACTTAACCATGCACGGAGAATTAGGCCAGGTACTTAATATTTCTGAAGACACCCTGCCCTGGTGTTTCTGGATTTTAAGGTGCATTCCTCATAAGGGTCAGTCTAAAACCTTTTAAACAGCAATAACAAAAATTATGTGATAATTTCATAGAATAGGTAAACGACCGAAATGGTAGTTATGATTGCAAAAAATACTGAAAGCAATCTAAAATCGCAACAGTAGAAGAACACAGTAAATCTTAAGAAAAAGTGTCTACAACTTGAAAATCAGGCAAAGAGAAAGCAGGTTGAAAAATCTTTTCAATGTCATACTGGAGCCCTGCTTAACAGGCCCACCCACGGATTACTGAATTATCTAGGGGAATCTACGTTTGTCTTTTTATTTACTATTGAGTAGCAGCTTCTACTCTGTGAAGTGAGTTCTATGTTACTGATAAGTTTCTGCCTGACAGAGATGCAAATGATTTCAGCATATTAGGAAGATAACCAAGAATTATGACTTGTTTTTGTGGGTCATCCACCACTTGTGTCTCTATCCCCACCGCTTGATTTCAACATTCCTTCTCCACTGTCTGTCTCACCTTTGTTCTGCTAATGTTCCTTCCAGCCAGCTTTACCGGGCGGGTTTGCTACCTCATTAATGAATTGAATAAATCTTTGCCACATTTGTATAAGAGTCATGTTTTTTAACTTTCTGAAAAGCATACTTCTGCCACCTCTTGATAGGATTTATTGAGTCATTAAAATCATGTTTTTGGAGAATTTAATGATGTGGGAAATGTTCGTAGTGTGAAATGAAAAATCCAAGACAAAAAACTGTACGTATGGTATGGTTCCAATCTTATCAATATATATTGATAGGCACACACAAAGACTCAAGGGGAAAAACCCAGATATCAATAGTGACTATGGGTTTGGAGACTGCAGATCATTTTATTTCTCTTACACTTTTCATTATTTCCCAGATATTGTACAGAGACTTCGCCTCCCTAAGTGGTCTCCCGTGACTCAGAACTCAGAGAAGGCGCCGTGCTCCGAGCAATAACTTGCTTTCCTTGCCTTTCATTATGCTTCTCTCCTGCACGGTGCACTGACACAGGCCTCATGCTACGTTTGAACACACTGTGCCTCAGTTTCCCTTTCATTACAATGCCTCAATGGCAGTTCTGTCTTCCCACTAGCCTGCAGGAGTTCACCGCACCTTGCCCCCTGGAAGCTGGGCACTGTCCAGAGAGAGAGCAGTCCCCAGTCCCAGGCGCCTTGGGGGGTCCAGCCCACCCAACCCCCAACTCCCCTCTCCCCGCCCCTTGCCTGCGATGCTGTATTTGAAAACGCTAACTTTTGGTCCCACAGGCAGCGGTCTGGAGTCTGCCCAGTCCGTCTGCGGCGATACAGCCAGGGCTAAGCTTTCTCTGGGGTCATAATGACAGAACCCAGGCACAACCCCCGGGACGTTCCTTCCGCGAAAACAGCCGAAATCCCCCAAGGGATGGGGCCGGGTAGGGGTTAGTGTCTGGGAAACTAGTTGTGAGAAACAGACATCGCGCAACATCCAAGGGAGAGCATGGAGTCCGAACCCTCGGCTTCACAGACAGGGAAACTGATGCCCAAGAGGGAGACCACCCGGTAGGGGTGGAAAGAGAGCCCTGATTTCCACTGCCACTGAAGATCTCAATCCATGGCCTTGGGGCCCCTTTTGTGGGCCTCAACTTCCTAATCTGTAAAATGGGTACCTTTGGACTTGCTCTTCAATAACCTTCCTGCCAGCTCAGGGTCCGAAGTGCACGGCTGGAGATACTCAGTGAGCTACCGTCACCAAAGCTACCACAGTCCTCCAGGGACATTTATTTTCTGCCCCATCGGAGTGAGGCAGGCCACACCGGCAGGACGCTTGGGATGCTCACCGCTGGAGAGTACAGCGGGCGGGAGAGACAGAGATGAGAGAGAGAGGCGGAGCGGAGATGAGGGACCGTGAGAAAACGGAGGAAGAGAGGCCGGGAGAGCAGCGGGAAGAGAAGCCAAAGGCAGAAAACAGAGGAAGGAGAAAGAGAGAGGGGAAGGACTGGCTGTTTTCTGCCTGCTCTGGCTTTCCCCGACCCCCGCCACCTCCCAGGGCGCACAACGTGGGAACAAAGCCTGAGCTCCCAAGCTGGGGGGCGGCGGGGGTGCAGGCCCGGAGTTGCAGGAGGTGCAGGGCTAGCGGTCCCGGCGCTCCAGACCTACAGGGCGATTCCCAGGTTCCTGAGCCGCCCAGCCAGCTCGCCTCCATCCCCTCCGCGCCTGGCCACTTACTTCTCGTCCATCCCTGCTCCCGCGCCGCCCGCGGCCGGAGGAGCTGCAGGGAGAGCGCCAGCAGGCAGAGCCGGGCGGCGCCTGCGCCCCCGGGCATGGTGGCGGAGGCCCTTGAGCTCGGCGCTCACACGCCCTCGGCCATGCCAGCCCCCCGGCCCGGCGGCGGTGGCGGCGCGTCTGGATCCCCAGCTCACTCAGCGCCTCTCAACCCGGCTGTCTGCCCTCGGCCGAGACGCTCCGCCTCCAGCCCCGCCGGGCTCCGCTCTGGGATAAAGGAGGGGAGGTGCCCGAAGCGGGTGGGGATGGGGGTGGGGGAGGGACTGGCCTGGGGAAGAGCCGGCGGGACCCCAGGGAGCCGGCTGGACCCAGGGGAGAGGAACCGCGGGGAAGGGAGAATCCGAGGCTGAGGAGAGGCGTTCACCGTGGATGGTGCCTGGGGAGGGTCGGGGCTCAGACTTCGGGAGTTAAACTGGACCCCTCTCCGCACAGCAGCCGGTTTACCCTGTCCCGCACGGTGCCACACGCCTTGGGTGACACTTAGAGACAACTCACTCAGTGCTGTCCCCTCAAAGGTTGCCACTCTTGGAGGCAAGCTCCGAAAGAGTTAACTCAACCCCAGGCACAGAGAACGAAGTGCTCTAAGGACTTGTTTTCTTAGCAGAACACAAATCAGGGAGCCCTTCCTTCTGACTGGGAGGAGGGGGTGGTGAAGACAGGAATCCGAGAGGAGAAGACATCTGAGCTTGGGAAGAGGAGAAATGGAACACCAGGCGGAGGAAACAGCCCAGGCCAGACAAAGGGCACTGGGGCATCAAAGCCCATGGGCTATGTGCAGAGAAAACCAGGATTGGGGCTGGTTAGGGTTTAGGGTTTTGGAGGGAAATGGAGAGAAATGAGACCCCAAAATAGTAATATCAACTATCACTTGTTGAGGACTTAATGTCTGCCTGGATCAGGAAATATGATAGGGAAGACTGATACAGGACTTATTAAGTGCCAGACACAGGCCTCAGCACTTTACATATGTTAATATTGACTCATGTAATTAACCAAGGAAAAGAACTTCCTTTTATTGGCCTTTTATTTCTGCCAAGGACTCTCTGTGCATTGTCTCTTAATTAGCCCAATAATCCTGTGGGATAGGACAGAACAATACTAGTTATCCTCCCCGTTTTGGAGATGAGAAAATCAAACCTGAGAAGCTCAGTCACTTGCCCAAGGTCACACAGCTAATGTCAGAGGCTGGATTCAAACCCACATCTGCATAACCCCGGAGCCTGATGTGGCACATTTTATTTTACAGCTGAATAAACTGATAGAAAGAAGTGACTTGCTATGATCCCGTAGCATGTTCCAGCAAAGCCTGGTTCTAGAAATCTGGCCTCAGAGTTCTGTCAGCTGTTGCTTTCACTGGGTCTCTACAGTCAGATCCAGGTTTGCACAGCTAAACAAAATGCTGTATGCTGGAGAATGCAAGGCACTCTGAAGCTGATGGGGAAGGAGCTCTGTCAAAACCTATACACGGACACCCACAGGGGGAGCAAAGGCGTGGTTCTCCTCATTGATGTGGTTAGTGATGCTATTAGTCTTCTGCTTCCATAACAAAATACCCCAGACTATGTGGCTTAAACAACAGAAATTCATCTTCTCATGGTTCTGGAGGCTGGAAGTCCAAGATCCAGGTGCCAGCAGGTTGGTTTCTGGTACAGTCTCTCTTTCTGGCCTTTAGACAGGGACCTCCCTGTGTCCCCACATGGCTTCTTTGTATGTGCACAGAGAAAGCAAGCTTTGGTGTTTCTTCCTCTTAAAGGACACGAGTCCTATGGGAACCTTTATAACCTCCTTATAGTATAGGCTCTGTCTCCAAATATAGTCACATCGGAGGTTAGGGTTCTAACATATGCACATCGGAGGTTAGGGTTCTAACGTATGAATTGTAGAAGATATAATTCACTCCATAACATTCTCCCCTCAACTCCCCAAATTTACGTCCTTCTCACACACTAGATATTCCACCCTATCCCAATATTCCTCGCATCTTAATCCAGCATCAATTCCAAGTCTGAGATCTCATCTTACTATCATCTAAATCAGGTATGATTCATCCTCTGGCAAAATTCCTCTCAAGTTGTGAACGCATGAAACCAGACAAGTTAGGTGCTTCCAAAATACTGTGGTGGACAGGTATAGAGTAAAGGCTCCCATCCCAAAAAAAAGGGAAGAATCTCAAGAAAGAGGTGACAGGTCCCAAGAAGTTCAAAACTTAGCAAGACAGATTTCACTAGATCTTAAAGTTCTAGGATAGTCCTCTTTGGCTGGACCATTCTGTCCTCTAGGCCCAATGGGGCAGCAGTGTCACCCCCACATCCCGAGGAGTGGCTCTTAGCCACAGTCTCATCCCTGAGGCACTGAGCAGGAGGACTGGCCCAGCTTGCTTAAAGAGGGACCCCGACCTCTGAGACAGCCTTTCCCTGGAGCCTGTGGTTGGGAAGGGCAGCCCTGATAACTTCTGAATTGCCTTACGATCATTCATCCCTTTTCTTGAAGTATAAATATACTCTATTGCCCTATTCTATAGAATTCTAGAATTCTGAACGCCTTACTTTCCTCCTGTCTCTTTTTCCCTTTGGTCCAAACTGTCAATGTCTTTGTTGGTAAAATCCCATCTTTCTTCCTGGCTTCTGGGTTGTCTCCCTGGAGAGTGCTTATCTGGCCACACCCTTGTTTTCCTCTCCAGAAGATGCTTTCTCATTTTTTGCAATATGAATAGGCTGATAGTTTTTCAAATTTTTAAGTTCTGATTCCTTTTTGCTTAAAAAATCCTTTAATTTGTCTTCTTCCCCTCACATTTTATACAAGCAGCCAGAAGACACCAAGCCGCATCTTCAATACTTCACTTAGAAATCTCCACAGCTAAATATCCAAGTTTATTGCTCGTGATTCCCACTTTCCACAGAACACTAGGACACAATAGAGGGTTGAAATAAAAACACAAACTGAAGTGCTTTCTTAGTCGGGCTCATGGCTCATGCCCGTAATCCCAGTGCTCTGAGAGGCTGAGGCAGGTAGATCACCTGAGCTCAGGAGTTCGAGACCAGCCTGAGCAAGAGCAAAACCCTGTCTCTAGAAAAACTAGCCAGGCGTAATGGCAGGCACCTATAGCTCAAGCTACTAGGGAGGCTGAGGTAAGAGGAGCTCTTAAGCCCATGAGTCTGAGGTTGCTGTGAGCTAAGACTTGCTAAGACTTGCTGTGAGCTAGAGACCAAGGGACTCTACCCAGGATGACAGAGTGAGACTCTGTCTCAAAAATAAAAATAAAAAAATAAAGTACTTTCTCTTATTCTTTCACTCAATAGGAAGACTTCTGTGGCCAAATATGTGGGGGTTTCTCCCTACTTCAAGCAGCAATCAGTTCTGCAGTTGGGTGTCCTCCAATTCAATTCTGACATTATCCTAATGGACATAGTTTTAGATCCCACAGGTTTGGGACTCAGTCCCATACCAGTTACCAGTCTAGGCCTCCAGAACTTCTGATTGACTGTTTAAGTTGGGGTTCCTGTGTCTCCCTCTTTGGGTTCAATTAATTTGCTAGAATGGCTCACAGAAGTCAGGGAAATGCTTACGTAAACCCAGCAAGGCCTCTCCAGATTCTTCTTGGCCTCTCTGTACAGCATTCCTTCCCCCAGGGTAGGGGCCAGGACCCTCTCTGTAATGAAAGTTTTATGACCCACAATTGGATTAGAGTCTTGCCTTGAGCAGGTGAAAGGAGGGCAGGAGAAGGTCAGATACTGTTTCCCAAGGAGGGCTAAGTGCTGCAACCTTTTAACAAAAGGCCATTAAAAGGACCATAGGAGTTTCAAGCCAGGAACCATGAACATACACATCTATATCATAATAGGACAGCCCATCAGCCAAGTTCCTATCATTTTATAACCTGGATCACCTTTCCTCCAATTTCCAATAACATTTTCCTCATTTCCATCTGAGATCACTCCAGAATCGCCTTTAATATTCATATTTCTACCAACATTAGGTGTGTGATGATATATGTATTCTGTAAAATGAGTTGTAGAGGAAGCTTCTTTTCTTCCTGAGCACTTGCTAGAATCACCTATAACGTCCACATTTCTACAAATAGTCCCTTCAAGATGTTGGGATGCAGAGACCTACACTACGGTGTTGACATGCTGAAGAAGCCTCAGGATCTTTCTGACTTCCTCCCACCCCACCTGCCTGACCAGACTCCTACATGATGAAAGAGAGCCATTTATAGGATAATCTCTATGCCCGCCCCATTGATTCTCTCTAGCAATCCTTTATTACCCCTCAAAAGAATTCCTCCTCTTCCCCCTTCCATAACCTGTTTTCCAGGATGGTACATAAGCTTCTGAAGCCCTGGAAGAGATTTGCTCCAAGTACACACATAAATAAATTTGTATGACTTTTTTTTTTTTTTTGAGACAGAGTCTCATTTTGTTCCCTATAATAGAGTGCCATAGCACTAGAGCTCACAGCAACCTCAAACACTTGAGCACAAGTGATCCTCTTGCCTAAGTTTCCCTGGTAGTTGAGACTACAGGTGTTTACCATGACTCTTGGCTATTTTTCTGAGACAGGATCTCACTCTTGCTCAGGTTGGTCTCGAACTCGTGAGCTCAGGCAATCTACCCACCTCAGCCTTCCAGAGAGCATTTGTATACTTTTTCTCCAATTAATCTGCCTTTTGTGATCTGATTTTTTAAACAAACCTTCAGCAGGTGAAGGACCTCCCTTCCCTCCCCTGCAAAGGCAATCAAAAAAAAATTTTTTTTACTTTGTTGCCCTTGGTAGAATTCCATAGTGTCATAGCTCACAGCAACCTCAAACTCTTGGGCTCAAGCGATTCTCTTCCTCAGCCTTCTAAGTAGCTGGGACTACAGGCAGCTGGCTATTTTTACAGAAAGAGTCTCGGGATAGCTCAGGTTGGTCTCCAGCTTGTGAGCTCAAGCAATCCAGCCTCAGCCTCCCAGAGTGCTAGGATTACAGGTGTGAGCCACAGTACCTGGCCTCAATCTAGACTTTTTCTATCATGCACCTCAAATCTCATCCAACCTCTAC